CCACAAGGGATCCTTCGGCAGTCACAGGGATGGGTAGAGACAGCCAGACTGCCCGGAGAGGGGAGCTACAAGGGGCTGCCCTTTCTGTTCTGGTTTCCCACTGGTCCCACTTTTCAGCTCCGTCCCAGAGGGCCTGGAGCTACCTCAGCTCTGCTTCCCTCAGGCCCATTCCTTCCAGGTGCCAATTCCATCCAAGCAGCGCGTAGGAGGCTGCTGCTGGGTACTTAATGTCCCACATCCTTGGGTCACAACTAAGGCCTTTTAGTAAAATTTCCTGGGGCTGACAAGAGCCTTATTTGGGGCCATAGTAAGTGACACTGTGAACACCTTGTGTAAGTGGCTCTGACAACGATCTCAGAACTATTCTGGCATTTGTTGAAAATAGCAGGAATGTGGCCAGAGAAGTGCTAGGGAAAATCCTACTTTGAAGTGGGGTTAGCTACTACATAATGAGTACCTGTAAGGTGTTCGTCATGTGTTTTTATTAATTTTTATTTTTAAAAATATGTATTTAGGGATTTAAGAGAGGAAGAGAGAAACATCAGTGATGAGAGAGAATCATTGATTGGCTGCCTCCTGCACACCCCGCACTGGGATCGAGCCAGCAACCCGGGCATGTGCCAACCAGGAACCGAACTGTGACGTCCTGGTTCATAGGTGGATGCTCAACCACTGAGCCACACCGGCCGGGCTCCATCCGCTTACTTGATTCTTTGAAAACGTCTGTGCTGCCTCTTTCCTCCCATTAGACTCTGAACTCAAACCTCCTCTGCCATTGTATCCTAGTAGGTGTTCAACAAAATTTGCAGGTGTCCATCATTGTTTTAGATACTTCCTATCTTTTAAACCTCAAAATGTATCTATGTGTTATTATTCCCATTATACAGATAAGAAAATGAGGTTCGGATGAGGAAATGGCTATATTTAACTTCCATGACTGAAGTCTTTTTTAAAATATAAGGTTTTATTGAGCCAAAAATGCTAACCAAACGACTGGTCTTGGGGCATGGAGTCTAAGCCACCAGCAGCATGGCCAGACAGGAAAGGTAGTATGTCCGTCATCCCAGAGTTCTGCAACCGGTTTAATACATCGAGTCAGGGGAAGAAGAAGAAAGAAGTAGTCTGAAAGGATTTACATGAGCTACAGGCAAAGGGGTGGGAGAAGGTGAAGCGGGGCCAGCTCTGGGCAGCAGAGTCGAATAAAGAAATGCCTGCACCAGTGGAGTGGCTGTGGGCAGCGGTCCAGAAAGCCCACATGCAAACAAATGGGGACTCCTGGAGTTAGAGGGTGTCTGGCTAAAATAATCTGTGGATATAGCCACCTGGAAATTAATCCAAAATTCCAACAGGCAAAACAGGAATGTGGGATGTCTTTTATTTATTTACTAGAGGCCTGGTGCACGACATTCATGCACTGGGGGGCGAGGGGTGGTCCCTCAGCCTGGCCTATGCTCTTTCGCAGTCCAGGACCCCCGAGGGGTCCTTAGCGCTGCCATGGAGGCGGGAGAGGCTCCCTCTAGCACAATTGCACTTGCCAGCCGTGAGCCTGGCTTCTGGTTGAGTGGCACTCCCCCTGTGGGAGCACAGTGACCACCAGGGGGCAGCTCCTGCATTGTCTGCCCCCTGGTGGTCAGTGCAAGTCATAGTGACCAGTTGTTCTGTTGTTCGGTCGATTTGCATATTTGGGTTTTATTATATGAGATTTTTTTTAAAGATTGTGTTTGTTTGTTTATTTTTGTTAATCCTCACCCAAGGATATTTTCCCATTGATTTTTAGGGAGAGTGGAAGAGGGAGGGAAAGAAAGAGAGAAACATCGATGTGAGAGAAATACATCGATTGGTTGCCTACTGCACGAGCCCTGACCAGAGCCCAGGCTGGGGAGGAGCCTGCAACCAAGATACGTGCCCTTAACTAGAATCGAACCCGGGACCCTTTGGTCCACAGCCTGACGTTCTATCCACTGAGCCAAACCGGCTAGGGCTGAGATGTCTTTCATTAGTTGGCCTGCAGCCATTAACAGACTAACAGTTCCAGCTCTTTTTCTCCCTCTCAGGCCACTGTAACTTAATTTAGAACATCTCGGAATTTTTTTCTTATCAGCTGATTCCAGGGAGGTGTGTGTAACCCAGCTGTGTGCTTCCTGGGTAGTGTGTGGGGATTCTGCTACCCAAGGCCCCAGCCATGACACCCTGAACCAGGGAGGCACAAAGGCAGACCTCAAATCCTCCCAGAAGGTAGCCCCACCACTGCCCACCAGCTCTGGCAGCGTCCAAACCTTTAAATCAGAAGAGAAACCGCCAGCAGTTACAAAGATAAGGACATTTATTCGTGTTATATTACTGGATTTTAAAGGCAAAAATACAGTTCTGTTTTGAACATCAAAGTCAGACATTCCCCCCTCCCACTCACAATAGTCAATACATACATTTGCACACATAGGAAATCGAAACACACAGCACAACAGGTCTCCAGGACAGGACCGCTGCTGTCCCGGCTATGTGGGACACCCCATGGCCAGCCCTGAGGTCAGCAGAGACCCTGCCCAGGCTGAGAGCCAGACCGAATTTCCTTTACCCTCCCGGGCCACCTCTGCCCTCTGATCTTTTCCAAAAGCCACTTCACAGGGTTACCAGCAACGGGAAGGACAGAAACAAAGGCACAGAACATGACAACTTCATGGTGACAACTTCCAGGTAAAGGAAATGCCCCCTGAACCCTCTTGCTCTGAACTCCCCAGGGAGGAAACAGGACCTACAGCATCTCATGAACCAGGCAGGCCTGCAGGCCTAACCTTGGGCTCAGGTGGCGCCCATGAGAGCACCAAAGGTGAACAAAGGAGGAACAGATGACGCAGGATTTCCCTTGGTTCTGAGAATGAACCACATACTTGAATATTCCAATGTAACATGAAAGAAAATATTAAAAAAAACAAAAGAAGGAAAAAAAGTCTTTTTTTTTTTTAAAGAGTACAGTAAGTAACAAAGAAGTTACTTCCCAAGGTATGTGTCTCCTTCTTTTAAGGCACTTTGGAAAAGTTGGGATCTGGGGTCACAAAGAGAGGCCTTCATTCTTTGCATTTCCCAAAACTCCTTCTCAGTGCAGTTGTTCTGAATTTTATTAACATCTCTGTTAAGGAGCAGGGGACTGACAGAAGGAATACTCTTTGCATAGCCCCAAAGCTTGTGCAGTGGAAAATAAATTTTAATCAAAGGCTTCTGAAAAAAGAACCAAGTTAGCATCTGAGATGCTCAAAGCAATAAAGGCACAGGTAAGACTGGCGCTGGACACCAACTCAGCCTCCATCCACACTGAGGGCTGGTTCCCAGGAGGTCTGAGCGGCCACCAGCGGAAAGGTCAAGCCTGGGATTAAACAGCTGAGTCTCAGGCCCTTAGCCCAGTGTTGAAACTGCCTCGTGCATCTCACCCCCGGCATCGAAGCCTCTCCCAGCAGAGGCAGGTTTGAAGACAGCCCTGGGGGTCAGCCTCCCAGAAGGGGGAGCACCTGCTAAAGACCCGAGGGGGAAAGGGAGGCTTTAGGCACCAGAGTGGTCCTGGGGGAGTGTGAGTGGGTTCAGCTGAATTTCTATGTTTCTAATTAAAAGGCACATTCATGCTGGAGAATGAATAGTGTATTTGACCCTGAGTGCCACAGGCAAGTTTTAGGGAACAGGCAAAAAGCAAAGGAACAAAAAAGGGGAGGGCAGAAGTGGGGAGGAAGAAGGAGAACCGGTCCTGCAAGGTGGGACAGGCAGTGTTGGGCCAACCCTGAGGGAGGCAGCCCTTCGATCCAAGGGGGCCAGAACCGAGGTTCCCTCCACCTCCCCAGGCTAAGGGCCAGTAAACAGTTCTGACTGCTGTCATTTACAACTCCACAGCCTACGCCCTGGTGGGAGGTCTTGGTGTCAGTCCAAGGAGGTGGTAGAGGTTCCCTCCGCCCTGCCCACCTGGGGAGGGTAAAGAGATGGGGAGCACTGCCTGGCAGGCCAAGGATTCTGCCTTCCTGCAGAGGTGTGTGTGTGTGTGTGTGTGTGGCAGGGGTGGGGTGGGGTGGGATGGGGAGGGGCTTGCCTCGTCAAAGGACCCAAAGGTGATTTTGCTCTTCACAAAACCTGGCCAGCGAGCTAAATCAGAGGCCTGCTCATGGCCACTACAGCATACAGAATCGCCCCGTCCCGCCCCTAAAAAAATGCTCAGTCCCTTCCTCACATTTAAACACCACAATAAAAATACATAGGAAATTCAAGTTTACATAACATACTCAGAAAAATCAATTGCCATGTTTGAACACTAAACAGCCATGAAAATCTGGATCAACACAAAATCAAGCTAGATCAGTAATCAGAATTTGATTTGGTCTTTAAAATACTACAAACTGCAACCTGCTCTTTCTAAAAAGTTTTACATTCAGAAATCAGGCAATGTGGAGAAAGGCCACTGAATGTGAGAACACCCAAGGATTTTGCTCTGATGGCTAAAGTTGCCTTGGAATTCACACGTTAGCAGGGCAAAAGGTCTGAGGCTCACGTTTTAGAACTCTTTTGCTAAGAAGAGATGCACACAGTGATTGGAACAGTTGGATAGCACTAAAAGAAGGTGGGGGGGGGGCGGTAAAATGAGAATGGTTTTTCTGTTTAAAATATGACAACCAAAAAATATCACACCAATCCAATTTCAGCAGCACTCTCCAATTTTGCATAAAGTAATAAGAATACACGATTTAAAACAAAATTCTTACCTATTTCACAACGAATTTGCAGTTTACCACTGGGAACGAGTCCCACAGTCACCAAATTTGGGGCTGTATACACTCTGATTCTTTGGGGTGACACTGTGAACAGGCTGAGAACCCCCGGAGGCTGACAGTTTCTACACATACAAACACCTCGTATAGAGCTAAGAAGTCACATGCCGAGTCAAGCTGGGGGCAAAATACCCCACTTGTTCTGGTCATCCGGAAAGGCATGTAAATGACGCGCGAAGGGGGCTATCACGCTGATTGTAAGAATGAGGGCCAGCCCAGCACGTTGGCAGAGACACAGCAGGGGTCCCTGGCCGTTTTTAGGTCTTTATCAGGGTCGCAAGATGCTAGCTCGGTGTCCCGACGTCCACTGTGATTTTGGTATATAATGGGTTTCTCTCTATGTCCAACACCTTGTACGTCAGTGTGTTCAAACCATCAGACAGCATTGTCTCCTTCGTGTGTGCAATTCGGTCAAACCTACAAGGAAAAAAAGAGCAAGAGGTTGGTGTCAAAACAAAAATCTTAAGAAAAAAAAGCATTAAACATTTGCACTTTGTTGCTTTCCCCCCTTGGACCGAGCCCTCCCTCCCCCTCCAGGCATGGAGCCCTCCCCAGAGCTCATTTCTGCCCCAAACCTAGAGAGGGAAGAAGGAATAGAAACAAACACAGAACACACCTCTGGGGATTGGGTTCATTTTTCTTGTCTCTTGAGTGGCGAATCATCCGGCACTTCCCAACCACAGCGTTTGGGCGAGATATAGACATACCTTTAAAAACTAATCTGCAGAGAGCAAAGGGACAAATCATCGTCACAGAGCAACCGCAGGCAGAGCCAGGTCGTGAAGATGAATGGCGCCGGCCAGACCCGTTTGGGCGGCCGGGAAAGCACAGGCAAAGGCAGGCAGGGAGAGCAAGCACGGTGCCCTCAGGAGCAACACAGCCTCGGGGACTGGTGAAAGGATCTGGGGTTGGAAGTGGCTGGAGATGAGGCTGAAAAGATGGGCAAAGGCTAAATCATGGAGGCCTTCTCAAAGCTTCAAGCAACAGTGCCAGTGAACCGTGCCAGCGTCAGAAAAGGATGGAAAACGCAGTGTTTCCCAAAGGTTTTTAGCCCGGGAGACATCTCTCTGATAAGCAGTATAAAAAGGGGGAGTAAGGAATAAGACTAGGGGCAGCCAGAACGGCATGGAAGGTTCTGTGTGTAGGTCTAGGGCAGTGGTCGGCAAACTCATTAGTCAACAGAGCCAAATATCAACAGTACAACGATTGAAATGTCTTTTGAGAGCCAAATTTTTAAAACTTAAACGATATAGGTAGGTAAATTGTTATTAGCTTAATTAGGGCACTCCTAAGGCTTCGGAAGAGCCACACTCAAGGGGCCAAAGAGCCGCATGTGGCTCGCGAGCCGCAGTTTGCCGGCCACTGGTCTAGGGGAAAGGAATGAGGACCAAAACCAAAGCAGGAACAGAGAAGTTAAAAGGCAGCGCTCCTGGATGACTTTAGAGGTTGCTGGCCTTGCCCCCAGGACCTGGCACACAGTGAGTAGGTGTTACAGTAAGAGTTAGGTCCTTCATTTTCCAAGAAAGCTGCTCCACAAACCACTCACCCTTCTAGTCCCTCCAGCCTGGGATGTTGGTACTTTGTGCTCCGGCCCCTTCTACCCCCAACCTTTTTGACCACTCAGGTCTCTGTTGTCAAATCAGCCCAGTGTCTGCCCAGGTGTGGTACTGTGGGCGCAAGTTTGTTTCTGTCTGGACTCCATGTCCATGTCTTCAGTGTCTTCCCGATTGGGCCCACCTGGCACAGTGCTCTCATGCAGCGGACACTCGATCTGCATACTTGAAAACTCAAGTGTTCTTCAAGGCCTATATTAAAGACTTGGGCCTATGCCAGGTTCTCACAGAAAGTTAACCCTGAATGACTTGGGTGCTGCTCTGACAGACACCTTCTGTTAACTGATCAAATTAGTGTTCTGCAATCCAGGAAGGCACCAGGGTGTATTTTGACATCAAACTCAGAGACAAGTTCAGACTGGCTCCCAGAGGGAGTAGGTGCTTTTAATCCGTAGCTGGCAGGGTCGAAGCCTCCACTGCCGGGGAGAACTGGGCAGAATGTGGTTTCAAATGCTACTTACAGGTGGTTTATACCATCTGCAATGACAACCTACATGATAAAGGTTTACCAACTTCCAGGGAGTCCAAGGGTGGGGGTGTTGGGGGTTGGCTGTGAAATGATGGTTGCGGGGCCAGTGGGTACACAGCAACCATCACACTACACTGTCCTCTTTCGTGTATGTTAAAAATAGTCCAAAAAGTTAAATAAATAAAACAGTACCAAGATTCTGTGAAGAACTTGGAATCCTGTCCAAAGAAACTTGTTTCATACTCAAACATGACCACAATGAGATGCTGAATTTTTACGAAGGACACGTGTGTTTTTTTGTTTTGTTTTGTTTGTTTTTTAATATATTTTTATTGATTTCAGAGAGGAAGGGAAAGGAGAGATAGAAACATCAATGATGAGAAAATCATTGATCAGTTGCCTCCTGCGTGCCCCCTACTGGGGATTGAGCTTGTAACCTGGGCATGTGCCCTTGACAGGAATCGAACCTGGGACCCTTCAGTCCACAGTCCATGCTCTATCCACTGAGCCAAACCAGCTAGGGCTGAAGGACACATGTTTACTCCTTCAGGACAGAATGGCACGCGGTATGCATCAAAGTACACTCCTTCACTTGGTTCTCATTTTACATTTTCCAAGGCTAATGCAAAAATCACAGAAGCGCCCTAACCGGTTTGGCTCAGCGGATAGAGCATCGGCCTGCGGACTCAAGGGTCCCAGGTTCGATTCCGGTCAAGGGCATGTACCTTGGTTGCGGGCACATCCCCAGTAGGGGGCGTGCAAGAGGCAGCTGATCGATGTTTCTAATTCTCTATCCCTCTCCCCTCTTCTCTGTAAAAAATCAATAAAAATATTTTTTTTTAAAAAAATCACAGAAGCTGCTCTGGCTGGGTAGCCCAGCTGGTTAGAATATCATCCCGATATGCCAAGGTTGTGGGTTTGATCCCCAGTCAGGGCACATACAAGAAACAACCAATGAATGTATAAATAAGTGGAACAATAAATCAATGTTTCTCTCTAAAAATCAATAAATTTAATTTTTTGTCTTTAAATAGCAGTAGCTAATCTTCCTGAAGACATCTTCAGCACATACAGTGTCTACAGCTGGGCACACATAAGACCCTGGGCTGAGTGGGGATGCATCCTTCCTGAGGGTCAAAGCCCTACAGAATAATCTGCATTGATTGAAAAACCAGAAGTGAAGGGAGACAGAGAAGGAGGAGATCTAAGTTGTGACCATTACCTGTTAAAAATGTCGTCATCTTCACCTCCCCAGCCCCAATAATTATTAGGAAATCCATTGATGGTGAGAAACTGTTGTTTACTTAGAGCAGACACACCTCCAAAAAACTGAACATAAGGTAAGCTGGTGGGGGGGAAAAAAAGAAAACACATACACACACACAGAGAGGACCAGTGGTTAGTAGGTTTTGACTTTCTCGAAATAAAACTTGCTCAAAATAAACACTCCTGAAGTTATTTTTATTCTCTGCAACTTTTTAACTGGAGATTTATGAGGGCTTTCTTTGTTTTGTTTTTATAGTAGACTCAGATAATCTTAGAGAAGACACAGGTATCAAACAATAGAATCTTCTTTCTAAAAATACTGTGTCGCTTCTGTGGTGATCTAGGAAATCAGTCGGTTACATGAGCATACGCCCAGTTCTGCACCAGACAGGAATCTGCTCCTACACGGGAAATCCTCACCCAGCAAGTCCTGGAATCTGAGGTTGTTCTGGGGTCTCCCTGTGCCCATGCTGTCATGTGCCCATCCCATCTACCAGTCCAGTTTTCATTCTTCCAAAGGTATACTGGCTTGAAAACCGACCGATTCCAATAGTCAAGAGAGCATTTGTGGCCCTGGCCGGTGTTGCTCAGTGGGTTGAGCATCGTCCATGCACCCAAGTGTCGCTGGTTCAATTCCGGTCAGGGTACATGTCTGGGTTGTGGACTCGATCCCCAGTAGGGGGCATGACAGAGGCAGCCCATCCATGTTTCTCTCTCACCTGGATGTGTCTCGCTCTCTCCCTCTAAAAAAAAAATCAAGAGAGCATTTCTGCCATCCATCATCCCCCAGGAGAGGAGCTAAGTTCAACTGCCCTCAGCCAGGCAAGCACAGTGACGTGTGTTTTCGTTGTCACTATTACGCAAACACCCACTGGCCAGGACGGTTTGTTTTCAGTTAGGAAATGAAATTGCTTCTCAATGACAGGAATGGCCCAAGCCTGCTTCCTATTTTGATTTTGTTTTTAACTGAGGAATGGTGCAGCATTCATCATCCGAATAAGTTGCTACACTTATTTAATGTGTGGTTTTGATTCAGCTTGAAAAAATAACCTCACTACATGTAGCAGTGCATTATATGTACAGTATATATAACGTTAGCATTTCTGCTTTGAGTCCTTGATATTGCAACGGAATTCCAACTTTATTAAGTGTACTTTACATGCTAGTTATTGTGTGCGATTTCAACTTTTTCTGCTTTCTCCCTTTCCTGGTTGTGCGCTTCCTTTTACAACAAGCCTCAAGAAACAGTCTCTGAGAATGACTGAGCTATGTTTATAATGCAGATGTACTTAGGGAGTATGTAAAATAATCATTCTCACAAAATAAATACATATTTAAAATTTACCCTCTTTCTCGTCAACGAGGCGGCGGAGCTGACGCAGAGATGCAGATCTTTGTGAAGAGCCTGACTGGCAAGACCATCACCCTTGAGGTGGAGCCCAGTGACACCATTGAGAATGTCAAAGCTAAAATCGAGACAAGGAGGGCACCCCACCTGACCAGCAGCGTCTGATTTTTGCGGGCAAACAGCTAGAGGATGGTCGCGCTCTGTCAGACTACAATATTCAGAAAGAGTCCACCCTGCACTTGGTGCTGCGTCTCAGGGGTGGCATCATCGAACCCTCCCTCCGCCAGCTCGCGCAAAAGTACAACTGCGACAAGATGATCTGCCGCAAGTGTTACGCCCGCCTGCACCCTCGTGCTGTCAACTCCGCAAGAAGTGCGGCCACACCAACAACCTGCGCCCCAAGAAGAAGGTTAAATAAGGGCCCTCCACCAACTCCTTGGGTCCACAGGGCAGCCTTCTACCTGAACCCTGTGATGCTGGGGCCTCAATAAAGTTTCTGTTTCGTTGACTGGAGCAGTAAAAAAAAAAAAAAAAATTTACCAAAACTACAGGTGGGGCCCTGGGGAGGGTTCATTGTGTTAAACATAGTTGATCTTCGGACTCTATGCTTGTCTTTGGTTTTACAAAGTAGCTTGTATTTTCAGTATTTTCTACATAATAGGGTAAAATATAGAGCAATTGTGATGCATCAATAAAACAGGTAAATTTTCTGATAAAAAAAAAAAAGATAGCATTCCTGAACATTTTCTTGGAAATTTCTACCATGTCCTGACTTAGCAGCAGGTATAATTAATGGTGAATCTATTTTGACACACTTTCAAGCAGCAGGGCATCTGGGCTCTCGTCCCTCCAAAACTTTTTGTATTTCAATGTTTCAGTGGTTATGAACTGTGGCCTCCTGAGGGATACAGAGGAAGCGCGGATGAGAAATGTTAAGAATCAGAATGAAGACATGCCCAGAGGCCATGCAAAGGCCTTCTGGGGGTCCTTTAAAGGCTGTGGGGGTTTTTTCTCGCCCCTGTGTGCAGTTCCAAACCACACTCAGGCTCTTACTGGAATCCAGAGAAACCAAAACCTATCACACAAATTAAGAAAAATGCTAACTCAGATTTTAAGAGAAAAGTCAGCCAACCATATAGAACCCAAGAAAAACAAAACCTAAAAAAAAAGCAATTATCATTTTCAAATCCATTCAGGAATTCTGAATTCTGACCCCAAGTATCCACAAGCAAGCTTCCTGGGGACCTGCTTTAATGAATCTAAGGTCATCTATTTGTCATAAGCTACCAGCACTGAGGGGCCAAGTCAGCCACCTTTTGCTTTCCTCACAGTACAGTCTGCATTTGCAATGTAAGGGTTTGAACCTGAGGTGGCCATGCCAATAAAGTTTTTTGATAATGAGTGTTTTTACAGAAATGGACTCTTAGCCACTTCTAGGGGAAATACCAGCTGAGCTGACAAGATCTAGTTTTGCTGTCTCTGCTGCTTTCTTTTACCTCCTGCCCATCCCCCAAGCCTAAATGGTTCTGGGAAAACAGACATGGTGCTGTGGAAAAGAACTAGGGGATCCCCACCATGCTTCAAGGGTGGAATTAAGAGGGGTCAGGGTATAAGCCTGTGTATCTCAAAAAGACGATACACAAACAGGGAGGGAGGGAGGGAAGACGGAGTGCAGAGAGTGACTTTTACAGCTAAATCCCCCCCCCCCCCCCCCCCCCCCCCCGCACCCGCCGCTCCCGAAAGACAGCAAGTTTAGGGCCTGAATACCTTTGATCTGGGGGAAGGACTTTACAACAACCCTATATTTATCTCACAGACCTCATGCCCTCAGCAAGGGAGGATGGAAAGAATTATTACTCAGAGGAGGCACTCTTCTCCAGAGCATAGAGCTCTCCTGGCTGGAGAAACTGCATCTCCTTGTTGTCATATCATAGAGGAACATGTTTCCTATAGACTCTGGTGAACAGCTCTTACCTAAATCCAAACTTATCCATTGCCACAGAAATGTGCCGTGGTTGGGAAAAACACCTGTAGGTGTTCCGGTCATCCATTGGGATGAGGTCCACGTCGCTGAACACGAAGCAGTTGTAGTCATAGTCCTTCAAGGCCTCTTGAAAGCCAATGTTGAGGAGCTTAGCGCGATTGAATGTGGACTCTCCAGCCTAGTGCAGAAACAAAAGGAGTGATATTAGATGCCGTAAGGACTTTGAGCAGAACACAGGGACTGGTGACTTGCCCACTACATGTGGTCATTAGTCCACTCCTGGGCCTCATTTTTTCTGCCCTCATTTGTGAATTAATACCATGTGGTATGTCCTGAGTCGGTATTCCCACTTTTCAGAATTATTCTGCAGGATTTGCAAATGTGCAAATGACATATGAACATTATTCCCCATGGAGTGTTCATCACAGCAAAAGATTGCAAACAGCCCTAGCCGGTTTGGCCCAGTGGATAGAGTGTCGGCCTGCGGACTGAAGGGTCCTGGGTTGGATTCTGGTCAAGGGCACATGCCCGGGTTATGGGCTCAATCCCTAGTAGGGGGTGTGCAGGAGGCAGCCGATCAATGAGTCTCTCTCATCATTGATGTTTCTATCTCTCGCTCCCCTCTCCCTTCCTCTCTGAAATCAATAAAAATATATTTTTTTAAAAAAAGATTGCGAACAATGACATGAGCATCACTAGGGAACTGGTTAAATAAATGGTGGTACATCCATTTAATGGGGTAGAGTTATTTTTAAAAATATGAAATCTCTAAAAGGAAATGATCTTCAAAATAGTATTGTTAAGTGAAGAGGCATTTAAACTTGTGTCACTTATTTATATACGATATGTAAATTAATTCCAGAGAAGACATTCAGGAAATGGGTACCTGTGGGACTTTTTACTTCTACCCTCTTTATATGGTTGACTGTGATTGATAACCACATTGTGTGCCTACCAGGTGTCTGTCACTAAACTAGGCACCAGAGAAATATGGCAAACCCAACCCAATCTCTGCTCTCAGGGTGCTCATTATGTCTGCTGGGAAGCAGTGTGGTACACACAACAGAAACAGGGTGTATGAGAGAGAAGACAACACCTGCTTCAGCATGCCAACCACTGGGTCTCAAAGCACCAAGTCTGTTCGTGAAAAGGTACTTCATATTTTATTTACTTATCTTGTTTATTTCAATCCCCGCCCCCACTCGAAAGCATGCTCAATGAAGGCTGGAATTGTTTACTATTTACTCACCTAGGGCCTTGAACACTGCTTGGCATATATAATATCAGCTCAATAAATAACTGCTGGCTGGCTGGCTGGCTGATAGGTGGGTGGGTGGATGAATGGATGAATGGGTGAGTAGACCGATGGATGGGTTTCAACATACAATGTCAGAAAGCATTCCTTGCTGGGAAGCTCCCACCAAAGGGCCCCCTTAGAGTCACCAGCATGGGTCTCTGCTCTTACCAACTCCCTGGGTTAGTAAGGACAGTAACAGCATCGACATGCCACCCTTACATTTAGCAGTTCACAAGCCCTCCCAGGCACATGTTCTCATCCTGACCGGAATCCTCCCCATCACACCTTGAAGAAACTAAGGCCACACAAATGACACCTCTGGGACTGGAGCCGAACACCCTGGAACCCTCACTTTATGCTCTTTCCCAATATCTCTTGGGATAAACAAGATCAGGGCCTCTACTTTGGGGGAAAATGTATCCCATAAGGGCCTGCAGTGGGTACACAGTCTCAAAAGTGGGATGCCCAGCCCTAACCGGTTTGGCTCAGTGGATAGAGCGTCGGCCTGCGGACTGAAGGGTCCCAGGTTCGATTCTGGTCAAGGGCATGTACCTTGGTTGCGGGCACATGCCCAGTAGGGGGTGTGCAGGAGGCAACTGATCGATGTTTCTAACTCTCTATCCCTCTCCCTTTCAATCTGTAAAAAATCAATAAAATATATATTTTTTTAAAAAGTGGGATGCCCAAACCTCTCCCCAGGCTCACAAGAGGACTTGGAAACGTGTTCCAGGAGGCGACCTGTGAGTGCAGAGCGGGCAGACCTCACCACAGCCGCCCAGCCTCAGGGAAACCAACCACTTAAGAAAAGTAAGTATCAGGACGTCAGACAAAGCACCCACGAGAACACTATCTCAATTAAAGAAACATCTTCCACAAGAGCTCCTTTCTTCAGCCCAAGACAAAGCTTTCTAGCCACACTCGGTGAAAAGAGAAAGCTGTGCCCGACGAATGGCACACACAGTTTCTCCGACTGGCCCCCCACCTACGTCATGCCTTCCGTTAACTCTGTGTAAGCCATGGGGCAAAAAGTTCAGAGTTGAGACATCGCAGAGGAAAACTATGAAGCTGTTGTAATAATTATTACTAGAACAATACACTGCTCACATTCATGGAGGGGGGGTGGGGTGGGGGCGGATATGATATACCAGGCAAAGGGTAAGTGTTTTACCTGCATGCCGTGTCACTTAATCATCTCGACAATCTTGTAACCACTTTCATTCTGACCCAGATCTACTGCATTCCTCCCACCCTTCTACCTTCTGGTGATGGGGAGAGAGGCCCACACCTGGTGCTTTCCTTCTTGCTCCTCCAGCTCCACAAAGACCCTAAAAGAGTTAACTGAATATTTCCAAACACAATTCATCCCCATTGAGCACTTTTCCCAACAAGTGAAAGGGCAGTGTCTCAACAAAGCCTTTTCACACCTGTGCAGCAGACCCCCGGGGGAGGGGCTGCCCAATGCTCCCTGCTCTTCCTACACTCTCCTATAAGAAGGGGCGGGGGGTGCTCCTGGTGATCATGTCTGAACCACAGGATCCGGCCTCCTGGTCTCTACTGTTTGATCTAAGCAGATGCTTAAATGAGACGACACTAAGTATTTTTCCTCTCCCAGAAACTGGTAATTTGGAACAACAAACAGGCCCCTCTGGCACCCAGGCCCCAGCACAATGGAGGAGAACCCTAACGAGAAGACCTGGTTCTGCCCTTGGCCAATGGGTGATGCAACAGTTCCTTCCCCTGAATAAGGCCCTCCGGTGTGTGGTCCACCTGGAAACTACTCAGGCGGTTTTCCAAAATGACCTGAACTACAATCGCTTCTCCCATCCTTCCTCCCAGCCTGGCCTCACCTGTGTGATCCTGGGGGTGGGGGTGGGGGGGGGGCAGGGTATTTTTTGCAAGTGTGAGCCCCAGGAACACCAGAGCA